TGGGTTGGGGAGAGATATACACCACACCATAGACACGCCAATCACAAATAAATGTTATGTATAAACTAGTGACAAAGTTCCACTGCGTAGTTAATGTTTATAAGATTCTGATTTATTTTTTCCCTCGAGAAACTTTTAAATGTTTCCTTGTCACTTTTCAATAGACATCATTCAGGGTGGTCTCAAAGTTAGATTTTAATTTCAACTTAATTATTTTAAGATTTAATTAATTATGTAAAAAACTCGATTAATAGTTTTCGAATTAAATGACGTGTTTCGATTTATTTAAAAATAAAATAATTCAAACTGAATCATAATTTTCTATTTCGTGCACTATACAGAACAGTACAATGAGCCAAGACGGTTGCAAAATATATACTTCCCACTAGTGTTAATGTTGTATGTTCAATTCCCACTTCTGAAGATGACGAAAACACGATCAACCGTAATTCTACCGACCCCCTCTGTTCTTCTGTTAAACACCATATTCTGTTATATATATATATATATATATATATATATATATATATATATATTCATACGTGTTTCATTAAATAATATAGATAAGTGTTGTCTATTTATTTTATGTAAATTCTTTTCATAATGTCTGATAAGCTTAATAACATTATCATTAAACGAAGAAAGAAAATCACAATATTGATACATATTTTTTAATCAATCTAAGCTTTTCGGCTTACATAGGCCATTATCAAAGATGACAATTACTGTATAATATCAACGTTTATACCAACGTCTTCCCATACTTAATACTTCTTGAATTCACTCATGCGTGGTCATGTGTAACGGCATGAGCTGCGGTGCAGTTTTCGCTTCCAGCGTCTTATATGCGCATGTTTATCGTTGCTTGGAAATCATCCATGTAAACAGAAACAGACTATCATCACTGTCTTGTCCGTATGTTGCTTAATATATTATACAGTAATTGTCATCTTTGATAATGGCTTATGTAAGCCGAAAGCTTAGATTGGATTAAAAAATATGTATCAATATTGTGATTTTCTTTCTTCGTTTAATGATAATGTTATTAAGCTTATCAGACGCTACGAAAAGAATTTACATAAAATAAATACACAACATTTGTCTATATTATTTAATGAAACATGTATAATTGAAAAAATGCTGCCTAAATACACACACACACACATATATATATATATATATATATATATATATATATATATATATATATATATATATTATGAAATGGACAAAATCTGATAATTATTTTTAAGACATTTTTATATTTATACATTCTTTTTAATGATATAACTATTTAAGAAAATACTCTGTTGATAATAAACAGTATTAACAACATTTACCGGCCTGAATGTCCGAGAAATTTTCAAAGAAAATATTCGTCCTCTGACAGGAATCGAACTCTTATACGACATAAACATATGTATGTGACGGTTCCGTATAGGATACATGTTTGATTCCTATCGGCGGACGAATATTTTCTATGAAAATTTCTCGGACATTCAGGCCGGTAAATGTTGTTAATAGTGTTTATTATAAACAGAGCATCTACTTGAATATTTGTATCTATAAAAGAATGTATAAACATAAAATGTCTTATATATATATATATATATATATATATATATATATATATATTAAAAAAATTAATTGATTTAAAATATGTTTTTTTCGCTACACAGTTCCAACCATGTTTCAAAAATAGAAGCTAAAAACCCTGAATTTAATTTTGCAATTAAATTAAAAAATATATATATATATATATATATATATATATATATATATATATATATATATATTCAAGGTGTATCAAAAATACTTTCACAAACTTTGAGGGCGGGTTCCTCCAGCCAAAACTATTTCATACATATAAACATATGTTCACAAATCCTTCGTTTTTAGTAATTAATTTTAAAGAAAGTTTGCCGTAGATGACTCTGTGCTGCCATGAAGACTAGGTTACACTTGGCATTCGTTTACATTTGTGGCTCGTCTATCTTTAAGATTTAACGTGTGTAGTAGTGAGCTAACTGGGAAGTGGTCTGTTTAACAATGGTGGGATATTCATATCGTCAGGCAGTTATGATTTTTGCATACGGCCGCGAGAATAGTAATGGACGCGAGGCTGCACGTCTGTATCAATTTGTGTTTCCAGATCCAAGTCATTCAACCATTACTGCTGTTTATCGCCACGTTGTTAAGACAGGATCCGTGGCACCACAAACTATGGATCGAGGAAGACCGAAAAAGAGCACCATGACGTAATTCACCCGCCAGAAATTTGGAAACAGCATGCTGGACTGCTTGGAATTCGCACCGGAAGCTCCAATACGAACATTTCAGAGTGTTTGGGCGTATGCCTGACCACGGAGAACACAAACTGCATGCGATCCAGTGGCCCTAGCATGCTGTATATCTCATAGTACCACATGGAGGGTACATCGTGCAGCCCTTGCATACGTATCATTTGCAACGTGTGCATGGTCATTCGTCCTCTGACCACTCACCACGGGAGAACTTTTGCCGATGGTTTATTGCACAAAATGCCGATCTGTTGTTTGTCTCTTCAGTCTTGTTTATGGATAAGGCAACATTTGGAAGAGATGGAATAACAAATTTACACAACTAACATTTGTATGCAGATCAGAATCCCCATGGTACAATAAAGGCTAGACACCAGCGTCAGTTTACGATTAATGTGTGGGCTGGAATTGTAGGCGACTCTCTGGTAGGTCCATGTGATTTCTCAGCACGGCTCACAGAAGCTGTCTACAAGGACTTTATTTCGAACACATTTTCAGACCTGCTAGAGGATTTTCACCTGTTAATACGAAGATACATTTTAGTCACATTGTTCGCGATGCTCAGAATGACATCTACCATGAAAGACGGGTAGGTAGGGGAAGACTGGTTCAATGGCCTGCATGTTCCCTAAACGTCAAAACTTTAAATTTTTATCTTTGAGGCTACCTGAAAGAATTGGTTTATGTAGCAGACATTAATAATAGAGAGACGCTTCCTTAACGTTTCATGGGAGCCTGCGAAACAATTCTACACCGTATGGAAGTATTTGAGAGGGTACGACGGGGGCATGCATGTGTATACGCAAGCGGGGGGGACATTTTTGAACTGTGTATGTATATATATATATATATATATATATATATATATATATATATATATATATATAAAAGAAATATGTTGTAGTGGTTCCAATGAGAGAAAAGTATGTATATTAAAAAAGAAGAGGGGTGCCGCAAACGTTTTTGGTTGTAATGTGGATTTATTGAGAAAAAATATTATACTTTGTTTTACATAATTTCACGACACGTGTTTCTGGTCTCGCAAACTGTCTTCAGGTGAAAGTGGAGATTTTTACATATTATTAAAAATAATTAATTTTTCTTCATGTTCAATGTGGAATATTCTCGATATGAGACATTCTGTTTGTGTGTTGGCAATCCGAATATGTATATATATATGTATATATATATATATATATATATATATATATATATATATATATATATATATATATATATATATATATATATATATATATATATATATATATATATATATATATATATATATATATATATATATATATATATATATATATATATATATATATATATATATATATATATATATATATATATATATATATATATATATATATATATACATATATATATATATATATATATATACATATATATATATATACACATATATATATATATATATATATATATATATATATATATATATATATATACTGTTTCTAAACGATGTGAAGAGTAGGAAGTGTGTATTTATTAGTAGTAAAAATGTTATCCCTGTTATTTTCAGTCAAGCGCTATTGCCACTGTGCGCTATTTTGCATAAACACATGCCCGCATACACACGCGGGCGCGCGCACATACATATACATGGGATAACGATATATAAATTTTTACATGTTAAGAACAGTTTTGGGGGAAAATGTATGACAAAGTATTGAAATTATCCTTGTCTGTCATTCAACGAAATATGTTTAAAAGAAATATTGCTGCTCAAATATTCATTGTATATTGGCTCTGAAAATAAAATCGTAGAGCCGAATTAAAACTCTGGCCTAATTTGTTGCGTTTACTTTCGCGAAAATGCCTTTGGTAAAATCATGAAACCGTCTCTTTCCCCCTCCCAAGGTGGACTGGGTTCTATAGTTTTTGGTGCCAACCAGTCTAAGAGAAGGTAACTTTGAATTCAAAACCGTGGAGGAAAACACCTCAAAACTATTCCCAACAATGCATAGTAATTAAAAAATAAAAAAAAATAAAAATAAATAAATAAATAAATAAAATAAAAGGAACCTGTGGAGAGCCATGATCACCTACGTCCCTTTTTTAAACACTGATCCGTCGCTTGACTTCATTCATTTTCTTTATTTTTCTCAGTTCTTAATTTTTTTTTTTTTTACGTTTAATTCTTTCATTCGAAAGACACTGTCTTCTTTTCATTTTCTTTTCTTTCCCACTTTCTATCAATTTCATTTTCTTCCTTTTTTTTTCTATCTTTATATACTTTATCCTTGACCTTTCTTTTCATTTTCGTATCTGTTTTTCTTTTCTTTCTTCCTTTCATTTTTTCTTTCTTTCATTTTTTACTTTTTTACTCTATCTTTCTTATTAATAAGGCTTTTCTTTCTTTCCTATTGCTAATTTTTTTGATAATTCTTTCTTTCTTATTGTTAATTTTTCTTTCTTTCTTTTTTCTTTATTTCTTATTCTATCTTTCTTATTAATAATTTCTTTCATTCTTTATTATTGTTAATTCGTTTTTGATAATTCTTTCGTTTTCCTTTCTTTCTTTCTTTTTCTTTATTATCAATAATTATTTTTTTTTTCTATTCTTTTCTTTCTTATTCCATTTTTCCTATTAATATTATTTCTTTCTTATTGTTAATTCTTTTTCGATAATCCTTACTTTCCTTCATATTGTTAATTCTTTCTCGTTAGTCCTTTCTTTCTTTTTTATTTCTTTCTTTCGTTCTTATTGTTACTTCTTTTTCCATAATCCTTTTTTTTTTCTTTCTGATTGTTAATTCTTTTTCGATAATCCTTTCTTTCTTTCTTTCTTTCTTTCTTTCTTTCTTTCTTTCTTTCTTTCTTCACGTCCCTTAACCATTCTTTTTTATCTTACTTCTTTTCTTCTCTCCATCCGCTATCCCAAAAATGAAATCTGTTTTTTCTTTTATTTTTCTGCCCTTTTTTTCTTTTTGCTGTATCATGCTGCTACCACTCTCCTTCTCTTTCCCCGTCATTATGTTTCATCACAGAACACCACCACCTATCGTTGCATTCTTGAAGTTCACCAGACCCTCTCCCTCCATCGTAGTTATTATGTACCTCATGGGTGTGCCCCTCTAGAACACCCTCGCTCGCAATATTTACTTTGTAAACACTGAGAAAAACGTGACATTGGCCCACCCCACTCTTTTCGAAAATTCAGGAAAAACATGAACTTACCCTTCCCTTCCTCCCACACTTTCTCACTGTTCCCCAAAATGCGCACTTATTTTGCTATAAATTCTTTCTTTGCATGCGTGCATGCAAAACACATTAAAACAAATGTTCATACTTATCAATGCACTTAATTATTGCGTAACTAAACGGGAATTCGGTCAATAGGAACTAAAAAAAGAATTTAATTAAAATCATTGCATTATTTTTTTCAGTAAATTCGTAAATAATTACACACACACACACACACACACACACACACATATATATATATATATATATATATATATATATATATCTCAAGAACAATTTTATAGGAAACAAGTATGACAAAGTGAAAAATGTTTCCGTGTGACGCGTTTCGACCATTTGGACTTCATCGAATGAAGCAATCTTTCTTTTAAGCAGACAGAGCTTTTTGGTTGAACAAAAAAACATGTCATATATATATATATATATATATATATATATATATATATATATGGTTTAAATAATTGTATTATTTTTGCACAATTTCTATCCTCTGAAAGGTTATTAACGTTTGTATCAAGTGTTACGAGTGTATTATTTTTATCATTCACAAAAATTTTTCGCTGTTCATCTTCTGTTTTCATTCGTAATATATATATATATATATATATATATATATATATATATATATATATATATATATATAAAGTCCTAACGGTGAAATTCGCTGAAGTCCTAACGGATGAGACGCATCACAAAAAACTTTTACATTTTGTCATACATCTTTTCGTTCAAATCTGTTCTTGATATATCAACATTTATATATTATTATATATATATATATATATATATATATATATATATATATATATATATATAATTCAGCCTCTACAAAATCAACAACTATAATTTTACTCATGCGCTGTTGGAAAAATCAGAAAAAACTTGATTTTTTTAAACTATTTAATTTTAAACTACTTTGCAAAATATATATTCAAATTAATAACAACAACAACAACAATAATAATAATAATTATTATAATAATAATAATACATCTTTAATAATAACTATATTAAGGCCCCTAACTGCGTGAATATACCGTTAGCGTCCTATCCATAAAACCCGGTTTCGAATCTCTCCATGATTTGTCAAGGAGGTGTGTTATTGATAATAACAGCCCAAGGAAACGTTCCTAGGGGGCAGAAATTGTTTGAAAGCTATGGTTGGGTTCTCCTGCTTGTGTAGCATGGTGCAGAGTTCTGTTGTCTGACATAGGGTTTTACAGCAGACACTCTCTTGACCCAGGGCAGCACTACCTTCTCAAAGCAATTGATGTAGGCATAGGTGTTGAGTCAAATTCAGGAGTTCTTTTCTTATCAGAACGATCAGAGTGAGTTTTCCGAATTCTCGTACCTCCGTAATCACCATTAGACTCATCCAACTCTTTTCGAACCCTCTGAAATGTTCGTATTGGGGCTTACATGAATGCAAAGTAATACAGCATGCCATTTCCAAATTTCTGGCGGATTGGATTTCGTCATGGTGCTCTTTTTCTAACAGAGGATGACCAAATGGCACTAATATACTGTGCAATTGGCACATTCAAAAACAAGCAACGCGCATGCGTTAAATTAAATGCTAAAATGGCGACAATTTACCCATCGCACAGAATATATAGAATATATATATATATATATATATATATATATAATTGGTAAATATACATTTCGGCTATAGAAGCTGATTCCCCGATGGAAAAGGGAATACAGTTCCGATTCCTGCGGGAGGCAGAACCCTTCTTTATTTGGGCTTCTTTAGATGAACTCAATCTAGGCCGGCTGCCATTAATTTCATTATTGAAGAAAATAGAAAAAAATGAATAGCAACTCATATACTTGTACCCATAAAAAAATAACGTTTATAGCAATAAGAAATAATCTCCAATAAAAAAAAATACCCATTATATTTTTTAATCATTCTACCCCCAAGCTAGGTAATAAAGCCACTAAGACGCAAAGGTTTACCGAGTGTGAGAGATTATGAGAAAAAAATACCTTATTAAGAAGAAAGAACAATGAAAGATCAGGAATTAAGAAAATTACGATTGAGATTGCAATTACAATTTTGAAGTTGTTGAATAAAAGCAGGAATCCAGAAGAGAGTTTCACAATCTAGAAGAGTGAGAGAAGGAAATGTTAGTATAGAACCTACGGCTCATATAGTCATTTCAACTGTAAAATGATGTGACCTCGCTGATAATCTGGTAGTATGCTGAAATTCATAAAGACTCGGTACCAAAGAGGAAACTCATCAAAAGTATTACCAGGAAAATGTTTATAGACAAGAAACAAGTGAGCTACGTTAGGGCGGTAGGAAAGTGACTAAAGCTGAAATGTCAAGAACTAACAACATTACAGATTCTTCTTTGGATATTATCAAGAATCTCTAAATATATAGCAGACGCACAGGCAACAATATTCAATGCATGGGCGAAAGGTAGACTTATAAATATGTAAAACAGATTCTGGTGAGAAAAAAATTTCTAGCACGACAAAGTGAACCAACTTTCCTAGCATGCAGACCTAGCAATTGATTTGATATCATATTTGATATAATCTTCCCAGTTTAAGTCAGCCGAAAACCTGGAGGTTAGCATCAGCCATGACGATGGAAGGCTACAAGGGTTCTCTCAGTCGATTAAAAGAGAGCAGTTTTGTTTTTGAGACGTTAAAATTAACAACCCATTTATTGGCCCACTTAATATCAGATTGTATGTTATTCTTTAGATTAGCAGCCAATTTGACCTTATCAGACCGATCAGACTTACCATTTAGACAGGAGTAAATGGTTGTGTCATCAGCATAGATTACTTAGTTGAGAACTGATGAAACCGGCAAGATCGTTGATGAAAATTAGGAACAGCGTAAATCCAAAGATAAATTACTAATATATATATATATATATATATATATATATATATATATATATATATATATATATATATATATATATATATATATATATATATATATATATATATATATACTTGTAATGAAGTAACAAAAAACAGTAAGCTAAACCTTACTTTGTCTGCTGATTGATATGGATCATCAAATAGTGATAGATATCAAAAACAGGTAGCGGTAAGTTTAAGAATTTTTACTGAATCTATTTTAGACACACACACACACACACACACACACACATATATATATATATATATATATATATATATATATATTTAAGTTTGTCTGACGATCGCAAGGGTGTGAAACCCAGGGTCACAAACTCACATCAATACAACTAAATATGTTTGCTCTATCACTGATATAGAGCACTTTCCAATAAGTACCGCGCATATATTATATATAAATAATATATATATATCTATCTATCTATCTATCTATCTATATATCTATATATATATATATATATATCAGTGTGTTATTGCGTATGCAATGGTAAAAAGTTTTTTCTTTCGGGCAATAAAATGGCTAGTGGTTCGGAATGAGAAATCAGAGAGCCGAGTTCGAATTGCAGTCGAGTTCTCTACATTAGCTTTTGCGTAAATACCCCTGAGAAATTTAATAATCCATCTTATCTCCTCCCCCAGCTATGGGTTAAATAGTAGTACTCGTACCTAGAGAATCACTTTTGTTCTCAAAAAATTATTAATGCAATATTCACTAGCAAAAAAAAAATATTTATGTAAAACCAGTCAATCCAGGTTCATCCCTGAATGCACTGCAGCCATAACTCACCGAAGCTACTATTTCAATATCCATCGCAAGAGGCGAAGAAGTTCATCCCTCAGAGCACAATCACTGCAAAAATGTCTAAAAACTGCAGCTACACATGATCAGTCCAGATCGGGTCTGAAAATAAACAAATTGGATCCCGTGAATTCTGGAAGATCACCAACCAATGATAAACAGATGTAAAGTGGCTGTGCCCACAATTATAAATGATCCCGAGATTATATCTTCCTCGACTGATAAGGCGAACCTCTTCGCCTCTAACTCAACGTTAGGTGACAAAAATCACCACCTCTACAAGTTTTCACGTCTCAGACAAAATTCCGGTGCTTGTCATTAAGAACATCAACCCAGAATTATCCCCGATCTTAGTGAAATTATTCATTCGCTGCTTGAAGGAGAAATCCTTCCCAAGCTTGTGGAAAGTGTCAAGCGTATACCCCGTTTTCAAGAACGCGGGCGTGCGATCTTCCTCCTCCCAGAACAGACCCCATCAGTCTTCTCAGTATCATCAGCCAGCTCTTTGTTTCCATAATCAATAAGATTCAGCGACGAGCTGTTTGTGTTTCGGTTGGCCCGATCCCCTGCCGACGTCCTAACTAGAATCACTAGAAATCAATGAGACTCTTGACGACAAACACTCTAGATATCTCAAAGGCCTTCGACAAAGTGTGGCACAAAGACTTACTACACTAATTCTCCAGTCATGGAATCACTGGAAGGGTCTTCTCAATCCTTCCTAACAGGTAGGTCCCTGAAGGCAGTTATCAATGGCCAGACGTCCAGAGCCCTAGAGGTCAACGCAGGCGTCCCACAGGAGTCACTCCCTGGGCCAACCCTCTTTGATCTACATAAATGATCTGCTTAAGAATATACTCAGATCATTTGTAAAAATTCATGCAGATGATACGACTATATACGGGCGCAACTCTAAT